AAGCTGGAAAACATTCTTCAGGATATTCTCCAGGAAAACTTCCCCAACCTAGCAAGGCAGGCCAATATTCAAGTCCAGAAAATATAGAGAACACCACAAAGATATTTCTTAAGAAGAGCAACCCCAAGGCACATAATCATCAGATTCACCTGGGTTGAAATGAAGGCAAAAATGCTAAGGGCAGCCAGAGAGAAAGGTTGGGTCACCCTCAAAGGGAAGCCCATCAGACTCACAGCGGATTGCTCAGCAGAAACCCTACAAGCCAGAAGAGAGTTGGGGCCAATATTCAGCATCCTTAAAGAAAAGGACTTTCAACCTAGGATTTCACATCCAGGCAAACTAAGTTTCATAAGCAAAAGAGAAATAAAATCCCTTACAAACAAGCAATTACTCAGAGATTTTATCACCACCAGGCCTGCTTTACAAGAGCTCCTGAAAGAAACACTAAACAAGGGAAGGGACAACCAGTACCAGCCACTGAAAAAACATACCAAATGGTAAAGAGCATTGACACAATGAAGAAACTGCATCAACTGACAGGCAAAACAACCAGCTAGCATCAAAATGGGAGGATCAAATTCACACATAACAATATTAACCCTAAATATAAATGGGCTAAATTCCCCAATCAAAAGACACAGAGTGGCAAATTGGATAAAAAGCCAAAACCCATTGGTGTGCTGTATCTAGGAATCCCATCTCACATGCAAGGATACATATAGGCTCAAAATAAAGGGATGGAGGAAGATTTACCAAACAAATGGAGAGTAAAAAAATCAGGAGTTGCAATCCTAGTCTCTGATAAAATAGACTTTAAACCAACAATGATCAAAAGAGACAAAGAAGGCCATTACATAATGGTAAAAGGATCAATGTAACAAGAAGAGCTAATGATCCTAAACATATATGCACCCAATACAGGAGCACCCAGATACATAAGGCAAGTTCTTAATGACTTACAACAAGACTTAGACTCCCACACAATAATAGTGGGAGACTTTAACACTACACTGTCAATATTAGACAGATTAACGAGACAGAAAATTAACAAGGATATCCAGCACTTGAATTCAGACTGGACCAAGCAAACCTACTAGACACTTACAGAACTCTCCACCCCAAATCCACAGAATACACATTATTCTCAGGACAACATCATACCTACTCTAAAGTTGACCACATAATTGGAAGTAAATCACTCTGCAGCAAATGCAAAAGAATGGAAATCATAACAAAGAGTCTCTCAGATACAGTGCAATCAAGTTAGAACTCAGAATTCAGAAACTAACTCTGAACCAAACAGCTTCATGGAAACTGAACAACTGGCTCTTGAATGTTGACTGGATAAACAATGAAATGAAGGCAGAAGTAAAGATGTTCTTCAAAACCAGTGAGAACAAAGACACAACATACCAGAATCTCTGGGACACATTTAAAGCAATGCCTAGAGGAAAGAATATAGCAATAAATGCCCACAGGAGAAGCAAGGAAAGATCTAAAATTGACACCCTATCATCAAAATTGAAAGAGCTAGAGGAGCAAGATTAAAAAAACTCAAAAGCTGGCAGAAGACAAGAAATAACTAAGATCAGAGCAGAACTGAAGGAGATAGAGACACAAAAACCCTTCAAAAAATCAGTAAATCCAGGAGCTGGTTTTTTGAAAGATCAAAAAAATAGACCACTAGCCAGACTAATAAAAAAGAAAACAGAGAAGAATCAAATAGATGCAATAAAAAACTATAAAGGGGATATCACCACAGATTCCACAGAAATACAAACTACCATCAGAGACTACTACAAACAACTCTATGCACATAAATGAGTAAACCTGGAAGAAATTGATAAATTTCTGGACTCTGGCATCCTCCGAAGCCTAAACAAGGAAGAAGTTGCAACCCTGAATAGACCAATAAGAAGGGCTGAAGTTAAAGCAGCAATTAATAGCCTACCAACCAAAAAAAAAAAAAAAAAGCTCAAGTCCAGATGGGTTCACAGCTGAATTCTACCAGCCATACAAAGAGGAGCTGGTACCATTCCTTCTGAAACTATTCCAAACTATCCAAAAAGAGGGAATATTTCCTAAATCATTTTATGAGACCAACATCATCCTGATACCAAAATCCAGCAGAGACTCAACAAGAAAAGAAAACTTCGGGCCAATATACATGATAAACATAGATGCAAAAATCTTCAATAAAATATTGGCAAAACTGACTGCAACAGCACATCAAAAAGCTTATCCATCTCAATCAGGTAGGCTTCATCACAGGGATGCAAGGCTGGTTCAACATACACAAGTCTATAAACGTAATTCACCACATAAACAGAACCAAACACAAAAACCACATGATTATCTCAATAGATTCAGAGAAGGCCTTTGACAATATTCAATAGCCCTTTATGCTAAAAACTGTCAATAAAGTAGGTATTGATGGAATGTATCTCAAAATAATAAAAGCTATTTACAACAAACCCACAGCCAATAGCATACTGAATGGGCAGAAACTGGAAGCATTCTCTTTGAAATCTGGCACTAGACAAGGATGCCCTCTCTCAGCACTCCTATTCAATATAGTATTGGAAGTTTTAGCCAGAGCAATCAGGCAAGAAGAAGAAATAAAGGATATTCAATTAGAAAAGGAGGAAGTCAGATTGTCCCTATTTGCAGATGATGGTATATTTAGAAGACCCCATTGTCTCATCCCAAAATCTCCTGAAACTGATAAGCAACTTTAGCAAAGTCTCAGGATACAAAAGCAATGTACAGAAATCACAAGCATTCCTATACAGCAATACAGACTTAAAGAGAGCGAAATCAAGAACGAACTGCCATTCACAATTGCTACAAAGAGAATAAAATACCTTGGAGTACAAATAACAAAGAATGTAAAGGACCTCTTCAAGGAGAACTACAAACCACTGCTTGATGAAATAAGAGAGGACATAGATGGAGAAACATTCCATGCTCATGGTTAGGAAGAATCCGTATCGTGAAAATGGCATACTGCCCAAAGTAATTTATAGATTCAATACTATCCCCATCAAGCTACCAATGACCTTCTTCACAGAACTGGAGAAAACCACCTTAAACTTCATATGGAACCAAAAGAGAACCCACATAGCCAAGTCAATTCTAAGCAAAAAGAACAAAGCTGGAGGCCTCATACTACCTGACTTCAAACTATACTACAAGGCTATAGTAATCAAAACAGCATGATACTGGTACCAAAACAGATATAGACCAATGGAACAGAACAGAGGCCTCAGAGGCAACACCACACAGCTACAACCATTTGACCTTTGACACACTTCACAAAAACAAGCAATGGGGAAAGGATTCCCTGTTTAATAAATGGTGTTGGGAAAACTGGCTAGCAATATGCAGAAAGCAGAAACTGGACCCCTTCCTGAAACCTTACACTAAAATTAACTGCAGATGAATTAAAGACTTAAACATAATACCTAACACCATAAAAACCCTAGAAGAAAATCTAGGCAAAACCATCCAGGACATAGGCATAGGCAAGGACTTAATGACTAAAACACCAAAAGTATTGGCAGCAAAAGCCAAAATAGAGAAATGGGACCTAACTAAACTCCAGAGCTTCTGCACAGCAAAAGAAACCATCATTAGAGTGAATCAGCAACCATCATAATGGGAAACAATTTTTGCAATCTACCCATCTGACAAAGGGCTAATATCCAGAATCTCCAAAGAACCAAAACAGATATACAAGAAAAAAACAAGCCCATACAAAAGTGGGCAAAGTATATGAACAGACACTTTGCAAAAGAAGACATATATGAGTCCAAAAAACATATGAATAAATGCTCATTATCACTGGTCATTAGAGAAATGCAAATCAAAACTACATTTAGATACCATCTCACGCCAGTTAAAATGGCAATCATTAAAAAATATGGAGACAACAGATGCTGGAGAGGATGTGGAGAAATAGGAACACTTTTACACTGCTGGTGGGAGTGAAAATTAGTCCAACCATTGTGGAAGATACTGTGGAGATTCCTCAAGGATCTAGAAATAGAAATTCCATTTGACCCAGCAATCCCATTACTGGGTATATATCCAAAGGATTATAAATCATTCTATTATAAAGACACATGCACACAAATGTTTGTTGCAGCCCTGTTTACAATAGCAAAGACTTGGAACCAACTTAAATGCCCATCAATGATAGACTGGACAGGAAAATATGGCAAATATACACCATGGAATACTACACAGCCATAAATGATGAATTCGTGTTCTTTATAGGGACATGGATGAGCCTGGAAACTATCATTCTCAGCAAACTGACACAAGAACAGAAAATCAAACCCTGCATGTTCTCACTCATAGGCAGGTGTTGAACAATGAGAACACATGGACACAGGGAGGGGAGCATCACACACTGGGGTATGTTGGGGGGGATCTAAGGGAAGTACAGTGGGGGGTGGGGAGTTGGGGAGGGATAACATGGGGAGAAATGCCAGATATAGGTGATGGAGAGGAAGGCAGCAAACCACACTGCCATGTATGTACCTATGCAACAATCTTGCATGTTCTTCACATGTACCCCAAAACCTAAATTGCAATAAAATACATATTTTTAAAAATTAATAATTGAATAGAGATAGTGCTGGTGCATTTTCTGGAATGTATTCCTTAAGCTCATAATACAACGTGATATGATAATATCACGTTAGTGAAATATGGAGGCTACTGTATATAGAAACAGGGAAACCCTATAGAACCATTTGGTGGCACTGATTGGTATTTCCATTACTGCACTGAGTAATTTTTGTAATGGAATCTTAGAGACAGTCGTGTATGTTAAGTGTGCCAGAGGAAATATTCAAACATGTGTTCTATATTCTTTCAGAAATTCTGCTCAGATTTGCCCATGTGTTACATTTTTACTGATAAAATTCATTAAAAGCAGGAAGCCATAGGGACTTTGCATGCAGCTTCCTTGTCTCACTTGCATAGCGACTTACCTGTGATGGCCAGCTGAGTCACAAAGAAGATCATTCTCGACTTCCGCTTTCTCCTCCATGTGGAAAAAAGCACAACGGAGTTTCCAACAATGGTAAAAACAAAGAGGACCCACAGAGTTATCAATTGCTCAGTCTGTAAGAAACAGAGAAAAATAAAACCAGTGTGCCAGTGAGAACCAGGGTTCTTTAAAGAATGCATGGCCCAAGCTTTGGTGCTAGATTTCTTCCACCTGATCCTATATCCCTACCTCTGGAAGCTCTACTCTCAAGAAAACAATGATAAAAACGGTCTTTATTTACACCAGCTGCAGAGTAAATTAATGCACCTTTTAAAATCTTTTGGAAATGTAAGTCAAGAGATAAAAAGTTTGTATTCTTTGGTCAAGTAATTTTAATACTATGTGGAAATTCAAAATGAAAAAAACCACCACTGTCACAAAGATGTCCATATTTATTGTAAAAATAAATTAGAAATTGTTTAAAGATAATAGGGTAGCTAAGTAAATCAAGCACTTCGATTCAGTGAACTATTACAGCATAGCTATTAACAATGACAAACATGAAGACTATGTAGCAATATTTAAAATACTTACAATGGTAAGTGGGAAAACAATAAAATTATACACTGAGTATGATTAGAACTTTGTAAAATTATATACTTAGGAAAAAGGCTGAAGTAGAGTAAAATGTTAAAAGTGGTCATTTTAGGATAGTGTAATTATGAGCTACCTTTTCTTTTTTTCATTTGACAGAATTTTATAAGGTGGTTATATTAAAGTTCTACTGAAAATGTTTCTGTGGTTTGAATGTGTCCTCCAAGGTCATGTGTTGAAATGTAATCCCCAAAGCAATGGATTTAATATAGAACCTTTAAGAGGTGATTAGATCATGAAGGCTCTGCCCTCAGGAATGGATTAAAGTTGTTACTGTGGGAGTGGGTTCGTTATTGCAGGAGTGGGTTCCTGATAAAATAATGAGTTCAGTTCCCTTCCCTTGTCCCTCTCTCACCGTCCCTCATCCACTTACTTTCTGCCATGGAATGATGCAGAAAGAAAGCCCTCACCAGATACCAGCACCTTTCCAGCCCCTGGCACTGTAGAAATAAATTACTTTTCATTATAAAGAAGAGTAATAAATACAGTATACTACAGTATATACTATAAAGAGTACTATATTACTCAGTCTTTGGTATTCTGTCATAGCAGCATAAAACAGATTAAGACAAATGATGAATTAGTAAAAAAGAAAAAAAAAGCAGGAATGCTATTAATCTAACAGTCCTTCTAAGAAATTTTTTTATGAACATCTTCATGAGTACTGCACTTTACCAATCTCATATTTAGGCTCTCTATCCGGGATTTACAGATCAGTTTCTAAGATCCCAGGTGGAGGTCAGGGCCTTGGAACTGCGGATCTGTGGAAATGAGGATAGGCACTGTAGTGATGTGGAGGGAGGCTCATGACTGCACAACTAGAGTGCCAAGGTGATAGTGAGGAGGGAGACCCAGGCATTTGGGATTCCCTCCCCCTCTGTCACCCACTGTGCATCTCAATAAAAGAGAGCAGGCCACCTGGCGCCTCCTGAATCGCCTTTCTGAAAACAACAGGCTGGGCCTTGGGGAAACTCTCCAGAAGGCACTATTTTTACTTAAAACAAGATCAAACCAGAAACCTTTTTACATGTGAGTCCTAAAACTGTAAACCGGAACCCTTTCATATGTGATTCCTGAAACTGTAAACAGAGACCTTTTCACATGTGAGTCCTAAAACTACGAATCTAAGGTTCTTCCATGTATAACATCTAAAGTATAAGCCTATATAAAGGCTAAACCTCCCTTTGTTAGGCCAGCTTGGCTGTTAGGCACCTATGCCACCTTGCTCCCAGCTGAAATGAAGTCCTTCCTCCTGTATTCGGTGTCTGAGAGATCCTTTCCCACAGCCACTCCTGCTACAATAGAGCTGGAGAACTCTGCAGGTACATCATGTCCAGCATGCATATATCACTTCCCACCTGGAGGGCAGCATCTTTGCTCAGCTTCAAGCCACACAATTTTTCTCTGGTTCTACCTCTTTCTGGATAACTCATTTCTCTAGCAGTGTTGAAATGAGTGATAAAGCCTCAGGAAAGAAAAAACTATTATACAAAGGACGATACAGAGTAGAGGGAGTGCATTTTTGTAAGAGAATTCTCCCCTTTGAGATGGACTGACAACAGTGTTGTCAGAAGCAGATACAGCAGGAGAGGCCTTTGATGTAGACTGACACTTCGTATTCAGGTGGTGTGTCAGCAGTGGGACTTAAACAAGTCATTTGAATTTGGAAGACCTCTCTTTAAAAAGACTATGAAACAACCTACAGAGTAACGTAAGCAGCCAGGTGGCTTGGAAGTCTCCATCAGAAAGTCTCACTGACACCATGGTGCTGACTGATGAAACAATTCAAGGCCAGGGTGGGGAATAATGTGTCTGTGGTCCTCATATTGTTCTATCAGGGAAGATGATGGTGCCCTGGGGGTGTCTGCATTCAGGAGAGAGCCCATAAAACAGGTGGCCTGGCAGGTAAGGTATGACAGAAGGCCATCGAATACTTTTGGTCTCTGGAATAAGCTTCAGTGTGAATGACCCAATGCCTGTGTCACAGTCCTCCTGTACCATGACCTTCAGTAGTTCCCTTTCCTCCCCATTCTTTGTTAACATTCTGAGTCTTCTAGGGAAGGCCCCCATTCTTACAGAAGCTTTTCCACCTGTGTAGCATGAGCTTGGCTCTGAGCAGCTGTACATGGGGAGGCCTTTGGAAAGTGTTTCTCAAAGTATGGTCCATGGCTAGGGTAATTATGTAAACTGGTTTGCCTAGGGTAGTCCTAGTTGTCAACTGCTGTCCCAAGATAATTATTTAAATTGTCTTTCCTCTCAAAAAGTGTCTTTGGTTGGATAGTAAATTATGTAATCACCCTATCCATGGTTCCCAATGGGTGGGCTCCAAATACTATAGCCTAGTCTATATCAATCCCTAAAAATGTATCTCTCTCTCTCTCTCTCTTTCTCTCTTTCTCTCTCTCTCTCTCTCTCTCTCTCTCTCTCATTGAATATGGCACTTCAACACTAGAGTTGAAGGAGTCCACAGCTCTAGTGGGTCACCTATATCCAGTTCCACAACCCCATGCTGGAGGCTTGGGATGGCCTCATCTTCCTGGCTAAGGCCACCATATATGTCTTTGGCACTGCTAAGAGGCCCAGGAAGTGTTTCAGCACACTGCCTGGCTGGAAAAGAGGTGCTATCTCTTCTGCTGGTGCTGCTATTCATCCATTAGGAGAAGAAACTGAATCCACAAGGCCCTGCATACCTCTGCTTACCTTGTAGTTGCTTGATGTTGCAATATGTTCATGGATGTGGGGTAGAGGGTGTCCTGAGGTCAGAGTGAACAGCAGTTGACTGGAGCTAAAACTGTCAAAGGGGCAAAGTTACCTCCTCTCCTCACCTGTGTGCCCACAATTACAGGAAGATTCAGCTGTGCATCAATTTGCTATGGCCCCTGGGGGCTGGGACCATCCCCCAGGAATGAGAAACCAAGAAGGATGTTGGCATTTCCCATCCTGGTAAAGGGAAGATTGAGATCCAGCTATGCCTCAGGTTGGAATTTGGGGTGGGGAAGGCTGCAGGGCAGATCTTGAGCCTGTAGAATGAAAAGCTGAAAGGTTCCCAAGGGACTGTGCCAAGAAGTGGAAGAAATCAAGAGTTTAGGACTATGCAGATGGTCTATCTGACACAAAGACCTAAAGGAGCTGAGCAAAGAAATGGCACCTAACCAGGAGGTGGGCTGGGAACTGGGGCCAAGAGCTCAAGGCAGCTTGGTGTGGTTTTAGATGAGAGGGAGCTGGGAAAGAGCTGGGAGGGGCGTCTTGCAAAGTGTCTTTCTCAGGATAATAAATTACATCAGAATACATCCTAGGAAACAAAATGATAAGATACAGAAGAAACTAAAAATTACTCACAATTTGGGGGTATATAATTCCAAACAAAACACCTATATCCAGTCTTCTTGCCCTCCTGCCCAGAAATTGGGGCTTTTTGTCAGGGTTTTGTTTTGAAACTTGCTTTTTTCTTATACCACAACATATAGAATCAAGAGCTTCCTGGTATTTGACATATATCACTTTATTTAATCCTCTCAGCAGCTAAAGAAGTGGGTTTGTTTGTCTCAGGTTTACATATGAGGCAACTGAAGATCAAAAAAGTTGACCTGGGGTCAAAGGAGGTCTATATAAACCCAGTTTTCTTGACTTTGTCATTTAGACTTCTGAGCAGTTACAACATAACTTCACCTGGTCACTTTAGTGGCTGCCTACTCCCCAGTATTTGAGTATACTGTAATTCACTCAACTGATGCTCTGTTTTTGGGCATTAAATTTTAGCTATTTTTTCCAATCATAAATAATAGTGTGATAAACATCCATTATATATGCCTAATTCATAAGTAAAAATTCCTAGATATGAAAGATTAAAGTAAAATAAATAAGTAGATTTTCAAGGTTTTGAAATACATATTCATTTGTGTTAAGAAATGTTTGGAAGGGGGTGATCCAAGATGGCCAATTAGACACAACTCCAGTGCACAACACCCAGCGAGAGAGAAGCAGAAATCCAGAGATCTCGTAACTCCAACTGAGATACCAGGTGCATTTCAACAGGTTTGGTCCAATGGTGAGCAAAGCCCACTCATGGCAGACTGAGGCAGGGAGGGGTGCTGCTTCACCCAGAAAGTGCATCTGACCAGTGAGTAAGAGGGTCCCCATCTGGTGCTCTGAACCAGATACAGTGCTTCCCCCAAAGCCTCAGCAATACACAGAACAGGGGATGTTTGTCAGTTAAGCACCGGAGTTGCATAATAATCCAGGATGGTGTCCTGGATTTGTGCACAAACCTAAACAGACACATAAACCCAAAAGGCAGCTGGGAGAACCTGCAGACTGAGCTATCGCTCCCTCCTGCTGCCCGGAAAGAGAGGGAGCTGTAAGTGGGAGTAGCTGGGTGGGTCCTTACCCTATGGCCAGAAAGAGAAGAAGCTGAAAGGGAGAGACAGCCAGCTGGGTGTGGCTGGGTGGGTCCCTCCCCTCCCCCACAAACCCCAGAGGG